TTTGATAATCATTGTATGCCACCAACTTGATTTCCCTACTTTAAACAGTAGTCTCAATACTTACATCGCAGCTTCTCTTCTCGTGCATTAAGTTTGTTATCCTGAGTTCGCTTTATTGGACGGAAGTGAGCCAGTACACGCACAAACTGACAGAAGTTTACACGATCACCCTCACTCTCCTAAAAGGACAATTTTTTTTTAGATAAATGGTTGAGATATTTGTTCTATATCAAGTAGAATTATTATATAAAAATGGGGTAACAATAAAATCCAGCCTAAAGCAGAGTAATGACTTTATATATCATGAACACAAGATCCCTACTTCCCTTTCTGCAGAGAGCAACAATTACCTTAAAGAAAGCATGAACGATTCGGTCACCAAGTGGGTTGATGGCCAACTCTGGAATGCGAAGGAAATCCTCCCTTGAGAGACAGCCATTGTCTCCCTTGTCCAGGCTGGTGAAGCGGCTGTACAGCCGTTCAATCTGGCTTGGCAAAACTGTAAAATAAAAAATATTTTCAGTGAACAATAATAACAAAAGAATAACATTAACTGTAAATAAGGAAATTAAATGTACAGTACAATGCATCACACTAATGTTGATAATCAAATATGAACAAAGGCACTTTAGCACACTCTGACCTATGAGAAATTAATTTGATTCAGATTACTATTCCATCTCAGCTCTACAGACCCCAAGAAACTAACAAAAACCAGATAGAACCAATGGTTCATTGAGATTCTGGCCACACATTTGTAAGTAATGAAGGAGGAGTTTCACATGCAATACTGATGTCATGAGCTATTTCAAAAAATCTGAAAATCAAGAGGTAATTAAAGTGTCCCCCACATAGAGTAAATAAAAAAAGCAAACTGAGAGACTGGTAAAATGAAATTTCAAACTCCATCTCCAGGACAAGACAATGAAACTCTCATGGGTACATGAAGCTAACCTTGACATTATAACCTCTACAAGATCAAATCCTGGCAAGAATGAAAAGAACCTTGGCAGTTGGTTGTTTATATAGTCTGCTGTGAATAGAGTTCATGGTGGCAAATGTTCAACAATATTACAGAGCAAAATGTCTACTTGAAATTTTACATCATACCTTAAGAATTGCACAAGACAAAACTCATGAAATGTAAGTTAAACAATTTGCATTCTAACCTTTTTGTGTGCATGATCTTTTGTTTTGTCCCATACTATCCCTTTGTTTAAAAAAATTGCTGATTCCTTGGCAGTGGATCATAACATTATCAACTTTTGCAAATGATTTGTTCCAGAACCTTGCTAAGCATATTGCTGGATTTAACTAGTATGTATATCTATGATGCAGCAGCAGCCCTGTAATCCACTTGTTATGCACCTCATGTATCATTGCAAACCAATAACTTATTAGGCAGAGTTAGTGTGAATTATGTCAAAATGGGCAGAGTAGGTGTATATCAAATCACATATTTAAAATACAAAAACTATCATAGTAAGTATAAAACAACTTCACCAAAACAGGTGTTCATTCATAATCTTGTCATGACCGATGTAGCTCCAAGACCACTAGTTTCTGATGCATGAATAGTATTAACTCAGTGATAAGATGTATATTTTCAAGAAAATTGTGTTATCCTAATCTTACAGTTTTAAGTGATAAATGAGGCTTAGTGTACCTTTCATCCCTTCCACTGAGCCTTGCCAATGTATGACGCATCAGTTTTGACTCATGTACCCAATATACTTTTTTGATATTTGTACTGGTATGTGTTCTAGGTACAAGAGCTGAATCTTGTAGTTCATAGATTGGTTAAGTTAAATGGTGACCTTGAAAAAGGAGACAATTTTACCTTGGATAATGATATAACTAAAAGACATATAAATGGTATATCTATTTCAAAGCTGTGAGGAGAAGCATATAAATGATGCTTTTACCATTATGCCTAACAGGATAAGAAAACACTATATAATCATACAATGATATATCAATCTTTTCATTTCTAGTCTGACCTTGATCCATTCAAAGTTATCACAGGATCCTGGAACAGTATCTGACAAGAAGACATGAAATACTGAGTTCATATTACTTGCTTTATAAGTCAATATTTGCTGAAATATATTTTCTGTTTAAGTAAATAATCAATATTGTAACATCAGTATTTCATCACATCTTCAGAAAATTACACAACACAAGGCTATGTATGTTCTAAAGTAAGTTCCCTCTATTCAGTACTAGTCTAACCTCTGACCACCATAATCCAACTGGTTAAGGTAAAGTCAGTTCTCCCTTTCAAAAGGTGCAGAAAACGAGGTTAATCCTGTAATACCTCACACAATAGACAATACAAGATGTCTGTCATGCACTACATCCGTGATACTCATTCTCACATGAAGGGGCCACTCCCTGCCTGGATATCCTGTACCTTTACCTCATCCCTAATTTTTTTCCTACTTTGATAGACCATAAGCTACCATTGCCGTTCCAGACAATGAGATAATAAAGGGATATAAAATGGAGATAATGCATTTACATACAGAGTGTGCAATCATGCGTGTCTATTTCTGTACGCAGTGAAGTAATTGAATAGAAGGGAAATAAAATCGTCTAATACTCTCTCAATTGATCAAAAATTTGCACAATACTCACATCCAGTTTCGGACTGAATTTCCCTGATATCCTGCTCCTGCAACATAAGACTGCTCTTGTTTCCCATGCTGACGTCTGGTGGTGCACTGAGGACTCTAGGAAAAGTGGCTGCGTCGCTGGTCAGACGTCCTTGAGGAAGGAGATCCGCAGACTGCCTGAAGAAGGAGAGTCCGTCCAATCAGCTGATAAACACGTCGTCCGATTCTCTGGCCTGATTAGCTATGCGTTCGGATTTTATATCTTACCTCATACCCGCATTGAATTTCTCCCCGAGTGAATTTTTCGAAAATGGAATAAAGCATTAGTACAGTTGAGTATAGCTAGTTGAATACGTTGATTTTTTTATGTTGTTGGGAAATACATCTACTTCTGAACTTGTGAGACATCCTGTTCGAACACCTCCGACGACACTAGAGACATCTGGGTGTCACGTGCTCGACCTTAGCGGGCAGCTCGAAAGTTGGTTAATTAATATTTAATGTATTTACAGCCCTCGGGAAGATCTATACTGCTGTAATTGGTTTCAAGAGGATCAAAATTGTTACTTATTATTACATATAATTTCACTATTATTACGTAATACCCTTGCAAGATATTACATAATAATTAGTTTTGTCAATGAGTCGAGGTCTTTGGGATATCTGAAATCAATTAGATATGCGACATACACATCCGATATTGATAGTACATTCTATTGTGGGAAAGCACATCTACAAATGCATGAGGTTTCCAAACGAGAGAGAGAGGGAGAGAGAGAGAGAGAGAGAGAGAGAGAGAGAGAGAGAGAGAGAGAGAGAGAGAGAGAGAGAGAGAGAGAGAGAGAGAGAGAGAGAGCGAGAGCGAGGGAGAGCGAGAGCGAGAGCGAGAGAGATGAGAGAGAGAGAGAGAGAGAGAGAGAGAGAGAGAGAGAGAGAGAGAGAGAGAGAGAGAGAGAGAGAGAGAGAGAGAGAGAGAGAGAGCGAAAGAGAGCGAGAGAGAGCGAGAGAGAGCGAGCGAGCGAGCGAGCGAGCGAGAGAGAGAGAGAGAGAGAGAGAGAGAGAGAGAGAGAGAGAGAGAGAGAGAGAGAGAGAGAGAGAGAGAGAGAGAGAGACAGACAGACAGACAGACAGACAGACAGACAGACAGAGAGAAAGAGAGACATAGAGAGAGAGAAAAAAAGATGATTATCTCCACATCACCAGCTAAGGTCAAGAGAGAGAGGAGCGCGAGAGAAGAAACAATTTGGTAGATTAACTTATTTACTGATTTTCTTCCTGCCGCGTCAACACCTAAGGTCCTTAGCGACGTATTCAAAGTACAGTGATAGGGTGGGGATAGGGGGCGAAGCCCCTAAGTATATCATGATGACAAAGTATTGTGGTGAAAGGGGTTGAAATGAGTTAACGATTAGGAGAAGTGGACAGAAAACGGGGATGAAGAAAAGGAAAAGGAAAGGGGGAGAACAGATCATGCAAAATTTGTTGAGACGAGGGCCGGGGTCCAAGGCAGTGTGATCGATTGAGGGGGTGAGATATATAGAGAGACTGATTGATGGCTAAATAAATAGATAGTGAGAAAAGGAAATATTACTCTTTTATTTGGTTAACAAGCAAAGGAAGAATAAATAAATGTGCTAGACATCAAAGGTCTTATAAATATGCAAAGAGGTATGTTAAGTAAAACTGTGAGAAAAATCCATATTGCATTTCTGCCGTCTTCTAAAATAAAACCCATAAAATGAATAAATAAATTCTGTTAGATTTTACTTATGTGGTAATCTACATCCAAGCACAACGGTTTTATAATTCTTGAAATATTGTTTTATTAACTTTTAATGTAGGAAATGATCTGCTGTATCTTTAACTATTAGACCATGAGTTGATGACAAGAACATAGATCAAGAGGCACTAATTTCTGTAATCATTGATATTTATCTGCTTATCTTATCTTTCTAGCACAAAACTAATCCCAGTATAGTGTATCATTACATAGACCTTTCAGAGAAAAATCTCCAAACACTGTGGTCATTTCTTCCCATTGGCAAATTACATTTACCATCATATTTAAAATGTCCAACTAGTGTGACATCAAGTTTCAGTTACCAAAATTATAAAGTGAACAGCTAGTTAAGGAGGGTTAGAGAACACATTTGCCTTATCAGTGACCAGCTATTTTCATGCAGTAGTGCAGTTATCCAGTTGTCATGTTTTTTTGTTATTATGTGAAAATAAGCAGTTATTAGACTGATGCATATTTGTTTTTCTATCCGGTTACTGTATAAAATGGGAAATTTGTTTTATTTATAACCTTTAAATAGCTGTCATGATATTTTGTAATGATGTTTGAGGATCACTAGCTTTTAAAGGAAAATGAAAACCACCATAAGTTTTTTCTTCTTTTTTTATTGTTTTATTTTTCAACAATTTACACATGAAAATACTTTCAATCTCTTTCCTACATATGGGGAAAACATCATTCCAGAAACAAATACAATGCAAATGCCCAGACACACATCATATGACAAATACAGCTGCCTTATTCTTTCGATGACATTCTTGATGGTAGCCCCTACATAAAGGTTTTATTTTCAATCCTTTTTTTAGTTGACCTTTTCAAAATATTCAAGGGAGGCTTCTGGGTCAGGCTTAATGGTTGGGCTCTCTGGCTGCCAGTTGGCTGGGCATACTGGAAAAGTAAAAAAAAAAAAAAAAATAAGAAGAACGTAAGATATTGTTAAATCATTTCATTACATATCATTTGCATATAATGAAGACATTATTTGTTTTTTTAGTCTTTTACACGCTTATTTTTCTAACTATTACACCCATTACTTTTCCTTTGTATTGCTTTAACTCATTCTTATTTCTAAGCATGGAAATAAAGCAATGCTATTAGTAGTTTTACTATCATCTAACTTTCATAAATATCACCAACAAATAATGTATTCTAGAATTCAATGTAAGCATATCAGACAATAATAAGATAAAACAAAACTTGATATTTTCCCTTAAGATTAAGCTGAAGATCGTAGGAAGAGTCTTTTCTTCATGAACAGATAGCATCCATGAAGTATTACCCATAATCTAAATGCAGCAAGTAACACACAAAATGAGTCCTCACTCACCTTCACCGTGCTCAGCCACAAACTGGAAGGCCTTTAGCAATCTCAGGGTTTCTTCTACGGACCTTCCAACTGGCAAATCATTGACACTCATGTGCTTCAAGACACCCTCGGGATCAATCAAGAAGAGGCCACGGAGGGCAATGCCTGCATCCTCAAGAAGAACACCATAGTCTCTTGAGATGGTCTTGTTGAAATCAGCAAGCAGGGGGTATTTCAAGCCACCCAGACCTCCTTGCTAAAAAAACAGAACAAAATAGAAAAAACGTTGTATTAAACATTTCTCCTGAAGAAATGGAAACAGGGATGTACCAGGAAATAGCTAGAAATTTTGAGGATTTGCTCCCTAGAGAGGGCCCCCTATTTTAGGTTTGCTGAAAAAAATGTGTTTGACAAAATAAAGACATTAATTTCCCTATCTGAACAGTAGGGAATATTTCCTTTAACCTGCATATAGCATGATCTCCCCCTTCCATAATTATGCAACTGAGCTATTTCCACAACAAAGTAAAAATACATATGAAAAATATCTTATTACAATCAGCAGCAAACATTAAAAATAACAAACCTTTCGTGGCATGTTATTCCATGCTAAGTGTGAGAAATGAGAGTCGGTTGACACACCAATAACCTCACAATTAAGTTCCTTGAAGGCTTCAGTTTTCTCACTGAAGGCAATCAGTTCAGTAGGGCAAACAAATGTGCTGAAATGCAATGAAGTCTTATTAATATCTATTAGACTGAAGGAGAATACCTACATTGCACAAACAAAACACCAACTTATTCTAACAAAACACATCCAACTCCAACACACATGGATTTGTTTGCTATCTCATAACCCAATTTACTTCCAACTAAATTTCTGAATAACTGATATTAATATTTCATATGAGAAATGTTTGTTAAAGCTTACTCTTTGTAAGAAGTAATGTGTGGTGGTTCAAAATCTTCAGCATTTAAATAAAACCAATTTTCCTAACCTAACCTAACTAATGAATTCACTGAAAGTATCCTTAGTATACTTTGTGCTAAAACATCATCTATTAAAGGTTACTGTATTCATGGTACTTCCCTCCTAGTAAGGTACAAAAATTGAATTGTTATGAGGATTATTTGTCTTTTATTCCTATTATTACCATTTGGAAAATACAAAAACACACACAAGTTCATTAAAAAAATTATATATTCTATTGGATGACTTCAAAAGAGTTCATAATAGACAATAAAAAAGCTGGCTGACATTACATAATGCACAGTCTTGATCTATAGGTATACTGCAATCTCCCCATATGCCAGGAATAGTTGGGGTCCTAATCACTAATGATACCACAAAAGCTCAAGCTCCTGTAAACTTTATTAGTACTTGGGTGCCTTAACCCTTAGCGTAAACAATTTCATGTTAATTTGCGATATAAAATAAACTAAATAAAGCTCGTAAGAGAGGAGAGAGAGAGAGAGAGAGAGAGAGAGAGAGAGAGAGAGAGAGAGAGAGAGAGAGAGAGAGAGAGAGAGAGAGAGAGAGAGAGAGAGAGAGAGAGACAGAGACAGAGAGACAGAGAGAGAGAGAGACAGAGAGTCTGATTCCATTTTTACTTACAAGTCTAGAGGATAGAAGAAGAGCACAACATATTTGCCTTTGTAGTCCTCGAGAGAGATTTCCTTAAACTGTCCATTGACAACGGCCTGACCCTTAAAACCTGGAGCAGGCTGAGTGACAGCAGCCGCAAGAGATCGTGTGGTAGTGGACAGGTGGCGCTGGAAGGCCCTTGCTGTGACAGTGCTGCGAAAAGCCTGGAAACAAAGATATCACATGTATACTAGAAGAATTTTCACTTATCTATTTCTTCCCCTAAATATTCCATTAGTTTATTCACCAGTTTTATGGTCATGACTGGCATTGTCTTTCCCTAACTACACTTAGTCCTCTTTTCTCTCTCAGCATCCCATACCCAATATAATAATGAGACAAAGTACCTTATGTCTTCAAAATAAATCAGAGAGGATAACAGGATAGATCTGTCAAACATTTTCTTGAAGTATAAAAGTAAAGAAATTACCCAGATTAGGACTGTGTAATGGCGAAGAAAACCTTGTGTAGTCTAATGGCCATAAATTATTCACCACACATTATGAAAAAATCTGCCAACAGTAAGGGCATGCCAACAATAGTTTATCAAAGTCTGTGGATCTATGCATCAAATGTGGCCTCTCCAGTTTTCACTTCCTTCTCTGGCAATGGTCAGCGAACCCCTATAATGTATATTTTTGCAAGATATATTTTGTAGATGCTGTTGTTTTGAATGAGCCTGTATTGCATGATAAAATGGCCAATGTGCTTAACCCAATACATGCCATGTCCACTGTGAGTTTACTGTTTTTACACATAGATGGCTACACTTGTACTAAGTCACCAATGAGCCAATTATGTGTACTGCCTCTATCACCCGTTTTCCCTTTTCTTTGATTTGTGAAAACATTTTACGTTATCTTATTTTGTTGTTACTAATGCTTACAACATTATAGTAATTATAATGTGTATAAAAGAAATAACACCATTGATATTCAAGGCATTAGTAAAAAAAACATTTTTCCTGCCAATTTAAGGAAAGGTGAAATCAGGTAAGGCCACAAGGTCTACTTATTGACACCTTTATGGCTAAGCACTAACAGAGCCATCTATATGCAGACATATTTCACAAAAAATATAAAAAATGAACACAGCTTTTCCCTGGTGGCATTGGGTTGATTCTCAGGCAAAGGCCAAAAAACTCCACAACATGTTCTGGCAAGATAAAGCTTAGATTGGTTTCTTATCTAAAAATAAATTGCAGGAAAAGATTGTGTCAGCCACTTATGATAAGCAAAGTGTGAAAGCCATAGCTTCATGTAATAAATAGATTTGTTTTTTTAATAAAAAAAATGTTAATCTTGCAAGAATATTTATGACAGACATCTGTTGGTTCTTTGCTAGAAATGTGAAAATGCTAGATGACTTCTCAGTATAGTTTCAGTTTCACACAGCCATGTGTTCTATCCAGTACTGGATAAAATGACAGAAATTAAGATACTTTTCATCTATGGTATATCCTTTGCATGTTAACATGTAATACTTTAGGATATATTTCATACAAGAAAATCTAATGATTTTCATAAGGGCGGGGGAAAACTATACTCACTGATACATTAAATAATTTATTTAGGGTTAGAATAATATCAGAAATGAAGAAAATAGGTTGCAACAAATGCCATGCAAAAAGTAAGACCATAGCAATTGGGTGGGGGTCTCTGATAGGGAAATACAGCAGTTGGATGGGGGTCTTGGGGCAAAACACCCACATTTGGAGGATTCTTGGTTATTATGGCTATGTTTGTGGATCTCCAAGAGTGGCTGGAGTAATAGGGACTTAGTCTGAGGGATGCAGTCACTTCAGGAGCAATAACCAACACTTTTAATTACATCACTTAGGCTGAAAAACAGGAGATTCATGTATATTCCATTGTGAATAACTGAAACAAGGAATAAGGTTGATGGCTGAATCAAACTAAAAAGGTAATTTTTTTTCCATACAGCCATCCAATCTAGCAATTATTATTCTTTCATTCAATTACCCACACTGTAATATGCATGAATCTCTTCTTTTCCATAACAAATAATACAAATGAGAGTACTGGTAATGTTTAAGAAGTGAGTGCACCCCTCTGAGATTAAGTCCCTATTAATTCAGCCATTCCCGAGAAATCCACAGACATTGCAGAATGAACCAAAAACCTTCCCATTCTGGGGGCTATTTTTCTACTGGGGGCTTTACCCTCAACCCCTGCCTGTTTGCCATAGACTTACTCTTGCACAGCATTTGCTATGACCTGTTTTCTTAATTTTTGATGTTAATTTTTGCCTATGCATATCATTTCATGTATTAGTGTGTGTAGGCCTAGTTTGCAATCATTTTTTCTTCTTTCCATTATTAACCCAATACCAACGGGCATGTCGGCATTGGGTTAATGCCATGCCCACTGTGAGTTTACTTGTTTAATTGTTTTAACACATAGATGGCTGCATTTGTACTAAGTCACCAATGAGCCAATTACTAGTACTGCCTGTTTCACCCATTTACCCTTTTCTTTGATTTATGAAAATAGTTTATGTTATCTTATTTTGCTGTTACTAATGTTTATAACTTATAGTAATTATAATGTTTATAAGAAAAATAACACCATCAATATTCATAGCACTAATAAAAAATACATTCTTCCCGCCAATTCAAGGAACGGTAAAATCAGGTATGGTCACAGTATTTTCCCCATTTTTTATTCATGTTCCCCTGGAGGCATTGGGTTAATGTTGTAGTATGTGTGAATCTCTTGTTATTTTCCCTTGCAAATTATATAAATGGTATTGGTAATGTTTATGAAGTGACCTTACCCCTCTGCAAAGGCAATAACCATAAATGAAGTGTCTCTTAGTTTTGGTCATTCAGTCCATAACTAGGCAAATTTTACATTGTACAACAGGGCTGTGGGAAACTGGGACTATAATGTCTAATAAATTACCAACATCTCTCTTTTTAATTTGCAAGATACAGCATAAACTACAATTAGAGAAAACGCTATTGAATAACTTTAGCTTCAGGCCCAAAACCTGTGGTTGCACTTTTTTCCAGACATACAGATTACTGATCTATACGTCTCAACCAATCTAATATACTTTTCACTCTTTATATATGTACGATTGGTTGACATGCGAGACACACAGAATGAGGAAGGAACTTGTAATCACATCAGTTGCTCAAACGAATTCAAATCCACCCCAAAAATTTAATATATACCTATTATAATATTTCTTTTGTGTTAAAACGCTCGATGTCCTCACTAACAGCCTATCTCCCTTATCAGAAACCCCACGGTCATTGCAATCCATCTCCTTGGCAACATCTCTAGAACTTATGTTTATCAGCAACATCCCGTCGGTTCCTTTGAAGAATGCAGAGTTAATATCCCAATATTCCTATTTATCTTCGTATGTCAACTGCTAACAGACACGTACTTGGATTCAGAAGATGCAAAGTTACTTAAATATATAAATCACAACCACGTTTACGCCCAAATACATACACTAACAGCGAAATTCTTGAGGACGCCGGCCATTGTGTTGTGTAATTTGGAAGATCAGCTGGGGACTACCTGGGCACTCATTTGCCGATTTCTTTTTAGATAAGATGTGAGTTGCTTTTTTGAGGAATGATGTTTCATTTATTGTTTCTGAATTGCAGTGTGGTTGTGGTTTTTACTCATAGAAGTATTATATTTAGAGGGTTCACGTATTGTGTGGAAACTTTGAAATTCTAAAAGTTTACTAGCGTGGCGAAGTGTTTAAATAAATCAAAGATGTGATTATTATACATCATTGAAAAAAAATATATATATTATTAATAAAGAAAATAGACCATAAGGACAATAAATGATTTATATGAATAATCAATCCCTTCACCCCCCCAAAAAAAAAAAAAAAAAAAAAAAAGGAAACTGGGCCGGGACGAAGAACAGCTGAATACCGTAATATATATAATAAATATATCAGAATATACCGTAAGAACAATAAATTATTTATATGAATAATTAATCCCTTTACCCCCCCCAAAAAAAAAAAAAAAAAAAAAAGAGGAAACCGGGCCGGGACGAAGACCAGCTGATTCGAGAACGACTTGTCAGCGAGGCAGCAGTCACAGCATGTAAGTTATTCTTTTAATTATATGCGTTTAAGGCATTCTGCAAATAAATTGGTAGATTTATGCTTAAGTATCGAAGTGCCAGTTTTTTTTGTATGCGTGTATTTTTGTGTTTGGTTGATTTTATACCGTATTACATCATTGTGTGACACGTTGGGAATTCGTTTTTTTTTGTTTGTTTGTTTCACACCATACATCTACAAAGATTATATTGTATGATACCGATTGTATTTAGTATGTACGTACAATTCTTTGATTATAGGACATAAGGGTATAAGATTTATGAGTGTCTTATAGAACTCCCTAAAGACTAGATCAACACAATATGGAAATGGATGTTATTTTAGAATGCACCTTTAATTGCTTATGGTATAGTCTGCAACCGTTTCTAGGACTGTCGAGTAAGGCATCGATACAGAGTAGAGTCACTTCACTAAATTCATTCTGTTCACCAGCATTCATATATAAATGAAGCCCCACCCATAAACTGGTCCTGACTGTTTTATCAATAACGGGTGTTAGAATTGAGGTTGGCGCACTTGTACTAATAATGAAAATTAACATAGGTAATTAACGTAGTTGTCATGTATGGTAAGCGTACATACCATGCCTACTGCTATATAATTTTATTTACTGTATTTACACATAGATGGCTCAACAAGTGCTTAGTCACCAAGGAGTCAGTTATTAGTCCCACTTGTTTACTCTTTTCCTTGATTGTTTTTTAGAGTTCTTTTGTATTATTTCATTGTCTTTATTGTTACCATGATTTAATTATAATTTAATAATCAAAATAACAATAAGAATACTAAATCCATTTTCCCACAATTTCAAGGAATAGGGAAATCAGGAGTGGTCACTAGGTCTTTCTAATAGACTCCTTCCTGGCTGAGTACACGTGGAGCCATCTGTATGTAACAAAATTCACAAAAAAATACAGGATACAGTGGATAAATCTGTTGTTGTTGGGTTAAGGAGTAAAATAAGAATTTCCTATGCATGGAAATATACATGGATTGTTTATTAATCATCTCTTACAAGGAGCTGCATCTCTTGCTTCTACACTCCAAGTCTTCTACATAAACATGACAGGGTGGAATCTCACAGTTTGTGTACCTTTCCTTTGATCAGCTGAGCACTCCTCTCTGCTAAGTATATGTGGACCATGGTTTTCTTTAGAGGGTGGGGATTGGGGAATGGTAGCCTATCCTTGGGAGGAGGTTGCGGGGGGGAACAGGCCCTTGTAGTAAATGATAAGTTGAAAGCCTTAGTATATTTCAGTGCATTCTGTTCATTTGGCAGTACAGGTGTATTTTGTTTATATGCCTTTGAAAAAAATAAGCAGATCTCGTATGTTTGAGCCCCAGCTTTTGTCCAAATAATTTATAAGATATATATTGGTGGCCAAACCAGCTTCTGTACTTTATCAGTTATTTCACTGTTTATGTTTGCCAATTGTTTGACTTTTGTCTTGCTAATTATATATATTGTTAATTGATAGTTTCTCCACTTAGGCTTATCCATACTACTTTCTTATTAACCATAATATTAACATATTTCTTCCTGAATTTTGGTTTAATATATATGTCAGGCTATGTATAATGATTATATGTATAATGATTATTTTTAATATGATTATCAATATTATAATTAGCATTATGATGATGATTATTATGATTATTTTTTGTATGATTATTAACCCATTGCCGCGGGGGAAAATGAACAAAAAATGGGGAAAATGCTGTGCCTATTTTCTATACTTTTTTGTTAAATGTCTGCCTGATTTGAAACACGTATTTTTCACTAGTGCCATGAATATCGATGGTGTTATTTTTATCATAAACATTGTAATTTTTATTATGTTTTTTAACATTAGTAACAGCAAAATAAGATACCGTAAAATATTTTGTAAATCAAAGAAAAGGGTGAACGGGCGAGACAGGCGGTACTCGTAACTGGCTCATTGGTGATTTAGTACAAGTGTAGCCATCTATGTGTGAAAACAATCTAACAAGTAATCTCACAGTGGCCATGGCATGGCATGCCCGGCGGGAATGGGTTAATATTATAATTATGATTATATTTATAATTACTATTGTTATTTTAACTTTTATAATAATAATGGTAATAGTAATAATAATGATAATAATAATGATAATGATAATGATAATGATAATGATAATGATAATGAAAATAATGATAATAATAATAGTAATGATAATAATAATAGTAATGATAATAATAATAATAATAATAATAATAATAATAATAATAATAATAATAATAATAATAATAATAATAATAATAATAATAATAATAATAGTAATAATAACAAAAATATTATCTATTACTATTATTATTATTAGTAGTATTAGTATTATATTATATTATTATTGGTATTATTAGTTATTATTATTATAATAATTATAATAATTATAAGTATAATAGCATTAATAGTTATAATTATAATTATAATAATCATATTAAAAATAATCATGATCATCATCATCATCATCATCATCATCATCATCATCATCATCATCATCATCATCATCATCATCATCATCATCATCATATTATTATTATTATTATTATTATTATTAGTAGTAGTAGTAGTAGTAGTAGTAGTATTACTATTATAGTTATTATTATTGTCAATTACTTTTCATTCTTCAGTATATTTTTTTACTATAACGCTTGTAATATACCAACTAGGGTCCTTAACATCGACATTTGTAAAAGAAAGATTACATCATAGCTTACCTCTCTCTTACACTTTTAGTCTTATTCTTGGCAAAATATTATTTAAAACATTTGTAAAATCACAATTTTTTTCATATAATTACCATATCTTTTATTTATAATTATATTACAACTGTCAATACTTTTAGTATTTCAATATCAATATGAAATTCATTAGTATCCTATGTATTGTTATCTTGTTAATCATTATTATCCTAGCTGATATCATCATTCTTAGTATTTCATCATTATTGGGATTATTAATAATAGTATTATTATTATCATCGTCATTATTATTGTATACTTCGATTTATAAGCACCATAATGTTACTGGCTTTTTCTCCAGCTGTTGATCATCAAAATGGCATCTCTTGAGGACTGGGCATGCGCTGAACTGGACAAGCTCGGTATTCCCGATGCAGGGGACATCGTGCGCTACCTCCAACCCATTGAAGACCCTGCAGAAGTGGAGGACTACTTGGCCTCGATGTTGGACAAGGGTAATAGTTCGCACCAGAAATTCATCAAAGAATTCATGAGGAGGCAAGAGGAAGACAAGTCGGCCATTGATTCCAGGTTCTACCGCAAGTCCAATATAGAAGAAGATTTTGGATATAAGATTAACGAGGGGAAAAAGAAGCAGAAGAATAATAAGGAGAATGGTGGGGGTGGGAATAGTAACAAAGATAATTCATCTAACTCTAACTCTAATTCTAAATCTAATCCACCTGCTCCTTCATCAGCATCAGCAGTGGGGAAGAAAAAATCTAAGTTTGTGTCATTGTATTCGGATGAAGGGCAAAATAGGGATGTTATCCTTTTACAAGGCAGACATAGATGTGACTGCCAAGCAAGCAAGCATAAACTGATCAACAACTGCCTGAAGTGCGGCCGCATAATCTGTGAACAAGAGGGGTCAGGTCCATGCCCATTTTGTGGTAATCTTGTGACAACAAGGGAGGAAAAGGAGATTCTGAATAGAGGATCGCGAAAGTCAGAGGCACTTCAGAAAAAATTGCTTAGTGATAGAAATGCTGTTGTCAAGGGACAGTCATCAGATCATCAAAAAGCCATAGATCATAAAAATCGATTGCTGGAATTTGATCGCACAAGTGAAAAGAGAACAAAGGTTTACGATGACGAGAATGATTACTTCAGTTTAAATTCTAGATGGCTCAATCAAGAGGATAAAATGAAACTTCAGAAGAGAGAAGAAGAATTAAGGAGTAAACGGTTTGACAGAAAAAACCAAAAGGTGACAATCGACTTATTTGGTCGGAAGATTGTTGCTGAGAAAAATAATGCAGGTCTGTATGACCCAGATGATCCAGTGGTGAAGGAGATTCTTGAAGGTCGAACACAAGACATATTTTCTGCCCCAGACAGGGAAGAATCGGGACCAAAAATTGAAGTGAGTCGGCCAGAATACACCACCACTGGTATCACTGGGAACAAGAAACAGAAAGGTGGCAAGTTCCAAGCTGCTAGTAACAGTATGCGTGTGCAAGACCGAGAGCTTTTAGAGATGACTGATGAGGGTAAGTGCCTGAGTATGCACCAGCCATGGGCATCCCTCTTGGTGGCAGGAATCAAAGTCCATGAAGGACGCATGTGGTACTCCTCCCACAGGGGAAGGTTATGGATTGCTGCTGCAGCCAAGGTCCCAGCTCCTGAGGAAATCCAACAGTTAGAGCATATGTATCGCGTTCTCCTGAAGGATGAATATTTACAATTTCCCAAGCACTATCCAACGGGATGCTTACTAGGGTGTGTTGACGTTGTTGATGTGCTTCCACAAGAAGAATATCGTACACAGTTTCCAGAAGGGGAGAGTGATAGTCCATATGTGTTTGTTTGTGAGAATCCACAAGAAATGATCTTGAAATTCCCTATAAAAGGAGACCACAAAATATACAAACTAGACCCTAAGATTCATCAAGCAGCAAAAAAATCCCTTCGACCTAGAGAAGAATAGATTTCAGTAATGATTATTATTATATGAAAAAGGAAATAGTGTTTTGTTATAAATATTTTTGTTATTATTAGTATACTCTTTGTATTACCGTTAATAGTAGTGTTAATTTATTACTGTTATTTTTTTATTGGTTATTTACTCATTATTATTGCTGTTATTATTATTATTATTATTATTATTATTATTGTTATTATTATTATTATTATTATTATTATTTTTTATGTTTTTTGTATTATTATTTTTTGTATTATTATTATTTTATTTATCTATTATTATTATTACTATTACTATTACTATTACTATTACTATTACTATTACTATTACTATTACTATTACTATTACTATTACTTTTACTATTACTATTACTATTACAATCCCTGTTACTACTACTATTATTATTATTATTATTATTATTATTATTATTATTATTATTATTATTAACATTATTATTATTATTATTATTATTATTATTATTATTATTATTATTATTATTGTTATTATCATTATTATCATTATTATTATTACTACTATTACTATTATTGTTATTATTACTGTGACTGCTACTACTACTATTACTACTACTTTCAGTATCATTATCATTATATCCTGTATGTGACTATGAAATTATACAACTACTATTATATATATTTTTTATGTACATTCCAGGTTGGAAGGTGATTGTAACTGAACTTATATATTAAAGGAATGAGAAGTTGCTTATTCTTTCTGTTCCATTTTTGAGTTTAGTAAACAGATTAAATACTAGTAACATTTTTTTTTCTCTCTCTCCTTACTAATTCTTTAAAAAATGTGTGGTGACTTTCTGCTTTCCTTATTTCTATCTATATCAATCACTTTCTCTAACACCCACTCATTCATTCATTCATTCATTGGTTCCCCCTGTTCTACGCTCTCTGTGCTATAGAAAAAATACATACATACGCATATATGTATATAGCTATTCATCTATCTATATACATACACATCTCTTTCTGTCTTTCACATCTCTTTCTATCTTTCTCCATTTTCCTCATTATAATTATGAATTTAATACTGCCTACTCTTGCTCCGTCTACCTCTGCATCTCTCTGTAATGATACCAAACACTTGTTAGTCCACTATTGAAATAAGGAAAGGAAATGTACAATTAGAAATACACATGTTTAGCAAAGCATAATGTGATACAAAAAAAAGGAAAAAACAAATTCTAATAAAGTGTTGCCATATGATGTAAGAAAAGGTAAAAAAAAAAGGAGGATGCGTGCTCAAACGTGGTGCAATCCGTGCGTGTATATACTTGATGCTCGACGGACTGTCCAGCAGACGGAACCAGTGATCGGCAGAGTTACCACAACGTAAGTGTTATCATGTATCCTATATTTGTATCAATATCTTTCTATCTATAGCTATTTGTGATCTGGGACCGTCTTAGAATCACCCCCTCCCTTCCGTGGATCCATAAGCGACTCTATTTTAAGTCATAGTCCTCGAGCCTGCGATGAATTGAGGCGGGTTTAATGTCTCATATCGTGTATATTAAATTGTTTATGACAGTAATAACGATCGAACGAAATCGATTGGAAGTGCTGTTATTACTGTTATCATCAAAATTTGTACGGGATTATAATTTATTACCATACTGTTAAAATAATGATTCTGTGATGCAATATCTGTGGCATCATCAGTTGACATTAGAAGTAAATGCAACACCAATATTCAGAAAAAAATGAACCACACACGCTTAGACTTCATACATATGTATTTTCCTATTATATGCAAAAGTATTTGCTTGTGCTTTTAACTAGACTTAAAAAATAATTAATCTATAGGCACGAAACGAATGTGAAAAACTTTTTCTGTTACAGTTTGGACGTTAAAGAAAATGGAGGCTTCGACACTTCCGCGCATACAGATTAGGGCTAACTATGACGAAGAGACCATAGTCGTCTATCAGGCCTACAAACCAGCTATAGGCGAAGCGGCACTAGCAGCGGGTCATTTTGTGGAACCTTTCTCTTTGAATCGTATGACCTGGATTAAACCCTCATTCTTGTGGATGATGGAGCGTTGTGGTTGGGGAGAGAAGAAGGACCAGGAGGTGGTTCTAGGAATTCGCATCACACGGGCCGGCTGGGAGGAAGCCCTATCCAACAGCATTCTTTCTCACCCAATAGAAGGAGTATACAGGGACCGCAACGCATGGCAAGAAGCTAAGAAGAAGGCGACAGTTACGGTGCAGTGGGATCCGGAGCGTGACATTTTCGGAAATAAGCTCGCTTGGAGATCCATACAAGTGGGCATAGGTAAGAACATAGTCAGTTCTTATGCTAAAGACTGGATCAGAGAAATTACTGATATGCGTCCCCTTATCAAAGAAATAAAGGATCTAATACAGGCAGGGAAACTTACAGAAGCACACGAACTTTTACCGAAGGAAAGAGAGTACCCGGT